CAACCTCCAGCCTCTGTTCGCTGGGGCTCACACGAACAACCTGCCTCTGCTTCCGAGGGCAGGGGCGGCGGGGCTCCTCCCGCGCCGCTCCCGCCGCATCCCGGACCTGGGACCCCACTCGCCGCACCCGCTGAGGCGGCTGCTTGTGCTAACAGCAGCCCCCACACGGATTAGACGAGACCGCCCAGCGACAGAACTGCCTTTGCCAGGAACCACGCCGAGTATGTAAAGGAGAGAGGAACGTCTCCCCGGGGTTACCATGCCCCTCCTGCGTCCTCCTGCTTTACCCTCCAGAAGGACAGACGTCACGTGGAAATGTCAACCTCCCTCCGAGACGAAGGCTTAAAAACAAACAACAACAACAACAAAAACGGGCGCAGGTTTTTATTAAAGCCCCTTTTAAAAAGTGCTGCTCATCAGAAGATTTGCAACACTGCTAAAGACATTCAACACCACGCTCACCGCCTGGAGGACAGCCACGCAAACAGAGCAAGGCTCCGGGTGATTTCGTTAGAAACAAGGTTTCCGACAGAGAAGGTTACCGCAAAATACCAAACGCAGTTACCCACCCTCCGCCCTTCAAGTAAACAGTTCCCACTAGTTACTGCTCTAAAGAGGTCCCATCTTTTTGAGCGCCTGATCTCCGGGACACCTGGAGCTCAGCCCCAAATGATTTAGGCAACCCTGGTAGTTAACACGAAGGAGAAAATGGGATCCGAATTAGTTTCAACACTTAAACAGGGGGGTTGTAGGAGTCATCATTTAATCTCTCCTTGGCTTTCAGAAACTACCCTCTGGCCATTCCGTGTCCCTCCTCCCCCTCTTCCAAGGTTGGATGAAAAGGAACGTCTACTCTGGCTGCTTTGAAGAACCTGCATTTTCCAGTTCTTTTCCTATTGGTCAAATTGGCACGGTTTGGGGAAGACTTTTGACTTTGTTTTCCCATATTCCTTTTAGGACGGCTCTATAAATGTCTGACAGCTACATATTCACCTTTTTGGGATATTCACCCACCGTGGCGCCTAACTTCAAGGGAAGTGGCATACCACCACCATCCCAAAAACAAAAATTGGGGTTCTTTCTCTCTGTAGAAGAACACACACACACACACACACACACACACACACACACACACACACACGGTTTTTTCTTTAAGGCATAGCATTGTCAGCTGTTTAAAGTGGATTTAATGTTTTACTTTTCCTGGCTTCCTCCACCAACCCCTTAATTTTATCCCAGTCTCCCAGACAGAATTTACATGTGACTGACTACTGGCCAAGTTCTAGGACCCCTTTAAATGATAGTCTTAAAAATTGCTTCCTAGTAAATTCGCATCCCCAGGAAGTAATAGTTATGAGTAGTCGACATTTCAAGAGTTCATTTATTTAGATCACTGTTAAAGTCTTTACTTATAGATTGCCCAGCAGCCGCAATTTTACCCTTAGGAAAAGAAGAAGGTTCTTTCAGTGACAGTCCCTATATAACAGAACAAAAGCCTGATTTTCTAGTGTTTTCCTCATTTTCACTGTAAGGGAGCTGGAGATATATTTCTTCTCTCCCCTGTTTGCTGTTCTGAGGTTTTACAGATGGCTACTGTAGTGGGTGTAATAGTTTCGCCTAGATTTTTTAACTGAGGAGGTTTGAGAGTCAAGGGACAAAATGTAATGTGTTTTCAAACTTCAGCTTCGCTTATACTGTAACTTTCACAAACTGTCTCCTTAAAACTCCTGTCCTGCTACAAAATGCATCAAAGGGACGGCGGAGACTGGGGAAGTTTTGAGATTGTGTTCGGATTTGCATCTTCAAGGGTCCCTTTCAGCGCGCAGTCCCAGGTGCCAGGGGCTGCCCCGTCCTCCCTCCCTCTTCTGGCTCTGCTCTCCTGCGTCCTTTTGCCTCCTCTTCCCTCTTGTCGAATTGTCTTGTCCTTCTCGCCGAGGTTCCCACACACGGCGGTGTGTATCTCCGAAAACCCACGAGAGGTCGAGCGCAGCCCTCTCCGTGCAACCCCTGGTGAGGGCAGCGTGAAACGGATAGTTTAAAAAGCGATAATTAAGATCTAGTCTTCAGTTTCTTCTTCCTCGTTCTATTTTTCTCGGTAAGCCTGGAGATTTGATTTTCGCTAGCCTGTGCTCCCTTGTCCCTTGCCTCCAAATAGCGTGTGTGTGTGTGTGTGTGTGTGTGTGTGTGTGTGAGAGAGAGAGAGATTTAGGAAAGCCACAACTCTTTTCCTTGTCCCTCTTGCTTCTGTGCTCTCTTATTAACTAATGAGCAGTGTCTGTTATATTCCCCCCTTTTCCTCCTCCTCTTAGTCCCCGATTCCCGCCTCTCCCCTCTGTCAGAGCATCTATCAATGTGGTGTCGATCACAGCGGCGGCGGCTTCTCTTTCATCTTCCTCCCCCCGCCTCAGCGTGAGAGGGAGAGCGGGAGGCGTTAAGGAGGTGGGGGAGAGACTGGCAGAGGAAGAGGAGTGGGTAGGTGGGGCGGAGGGTGGAGAGCGCGAGAGAACAGATACTCAGATGATGACGTTAAGCCGTTCGGGCAATGTTTCTTGTCAATTTCACGCGGGCAAAGCGTGCCTCTCAGTGGGTTACAAGCAGCGCCCGGTCCTTCTCTCGCCAAGTTGCCTGATCCTTCTCTCCAGGCGCGCGCGCGCACATACACCCCCTAAAACTAGGATTCGTCCTACAGGCTCTGGGAAAAGAAAAGGGGAAAAAAAAAAAGCCCTCAATCACCACCTCCTTCTCGCGGCTGCCCCCCTCCCCTCCAGCGAGCAGCCAAGGAGAACTGGAGGCGGGGGAGGGGCGGGGGAGGAGAAGCGACGCAAGTGGGTAGCTTCTCAGCGCCGGCAAGGCGCGGGAGGAGGAGAAGCGGTGGGGAGGCGCAGCCGCTCACCTGCGGGGCAGGGCGCGGAAGAGGGACCCGGGCTGCGCGCGGTCGGGTCGAGCAGCCTGGACGCGCCCGAAGCCTCGCACGCGGCGAAGCTCGGGGCGTCCCCTCCCCTCGGCCCGGAGAACCCGAGGGGCGCAGCTCTTTGCTTTGACACAGCCGGCCCGGCGGAGGCGTGGAGAGCGGCGAGCGAGCGAGCCAGGCTGAGAAACTCGAGCCGGGAACAAAGAGGGGTCGGGCTGTGCGAGTGTGTCCGCTCAAGCTCCGGGCAGAAGCCTTTGGGCCCGAGGCCCCTGCTGTGGCTCCTCGAGACCCCGCCGCGCCCTCCCTGCGCTCGCCGGCACAAACTTTATTCTTGGCAAACTTCGCTTTCTCTTCCCCTCCTCCTCCAGCAGATTAAATGCGCCTCAAGAAAGAAAATCGAAGCTACAGGGAAGGAAATAAGAAGCTCTAAAACGGACATCTCCAGCCCGGGTGGCTTTTTTTTTCTCCTTTCTCTCTTCAGGAAGTGGTCATTTCGTTGTCTTCTGATTCTCCTTGGACCTTCTTTGCTGGGGCAAAGGGAGCTTTTTTGCCTAGCTCCCCTCTCTCTTCTCGGAAAACAAACTCCTAAATCGGCCTCCGGGGAATCTACGGTGGAGAGGTCTGCGCGGAGACGCGCCGCGAGACCCCCCTCTGCACTTCGGGGAGTCGTGCCCCCCTCCGGAACCGGCGTCCTCCGCGCGTCAGCCCCGGCGACGCGGGGGGCGTGGGGTGGCCGCCCGGGCCGGGGCAGCCCAGCCTAGCGCGCGCCGCGCAGACATCCCAAGGCGCCAGCCGCCGCGGCCCTCGCAGTCCAGTGCCCTTCGGTCTCCCGGGGGCGCCGCCGTCCGTCTCCGCCAAGCGGGAAAGCGCGGCGGCCGCCGGGACCCGGGCGCCGCCGCAGTGCTCCGGCTGCCGG